AAAAAAGATGGCAATTGATAATATGATATAGACATGGCATAGATTGGTGTGTGTGGGGGAGAGCCAATATTCTTTTTTTTTTTTTTGCTCCTTGAATGCCTTCAGGCCAATATTCTTGAAGGCAAACTCTTTTTTTTTTTTTTTTTTTGGTGGAACCGGGAATTGAACTCAGGCCCTTGTGCTTGCCAGGCAAGTGATTATTCTACTGAGCCAACTCGCCAGCCCCCTTGAAGGAAAATTCTAAATAAAACATTGGCATTACGTATCACCCAGCTGGGGATGGGCAGATAGCTAGCTCTAAGTACCTGCCTGGCAAGCAAAAGAACCTGGGTTTGATCCCCGGTACTGTATACAATGAGAGCCCCAAACTCTAGGTCTGGTGGTGCATGCCTGTAATCCCAACACTAGGGAAGCTGAGACAAGAGGGTCACTCCAGAGTCTGAACTGCATGGCAAGACCCTGTAACAAACAAACAAATAATATTTAAAAAATGTCTCACCCAGCTGGCCAGATGATTTCATGATGAAGGACGCAGATCTGATGCATCTTTCTTCCACACTCAGTGCATTCAACAAACCTGAAAGTGCAAAGCCAATTTTAAGATTAATCTCACAACTTTAAACAAAACTTACAGCATTTCTGGAGATTTTTAACTCAAAAGACAGCCAACGTCACACAAAATAATTGAAAAACCGTTAAACTTTTTTAAAAACTTCTCGTTGTTGCAGACAAACCAAATTTCAAAATCAATTAACTCATCATTAAATTTGACCATTTTTATTACTTTGAGTATGGAAAGGCAATGATCACTATTACTGAAGGTTCCAAATGACTCCATTGAAAGGATCAGTTTATGCTTAATTTTTCTCTCTCTTTTATAATTTTTTCTAAGCTTTGACCCATTTTATATGCTTGTATCTGGTAATCTGAACAACTAATCTGAAAACAATATGCAACAGAACAACTATTGTGAATTCCTGTCATTTTGCTTAGCAAAATCCTGTATCATTTCTATTTTTATTTTGTTTACTATTTTTTTATTCTTGCAGGAAAAAAAAAACTGGTATATTTCAGTGCTCTTGGCTGGAAAAACCCTCTGATACACTAAGGAATCGAGAATATGTACTTAAAAAGCAGAGGACAAAACAGAACATAATACGGAGCTGAGGTAATTTGATGCTTCCTATGGACCTATAAATACAGCACAATGAAACATACAGGTCAACTGGGGAAATGTACATCACTGATTATACGATAACTAACATAATAAGTAGCCTTCGCTCTTGAATGTTACCTACCTCTCTTTTTTTTTTTAATATTTCTTTTATTTATTTATTACATTTTTTTAGTGTGTGTGTGTGTGTGTGT